GTATTTTACAAACCATGTAACTGGCAGCACAAGTGGCAAATCGAATAAATCAACGTTTTTTAAAACTGCGTACAACGACGTATTCATGCAAGTATCCTGTTTGTTCACCTTACATATAATACAGGGTGTCCCTGAAGTCTGAAACATTATATTCTTAAAGTTAAACAAACACATTTCTAATGTCAGTCGTACATATTTCAAGAAAGAAAATATCCTGGTGGCACATTATAGCAAGAATTGATATGTGCATGGATGTTAATGGCGTGCAATTTGAATAATAACTAAATTAACAATAAATTGTGTATTTGTCCCAACGGGTCCAGTCTTCTGGAACACCCTGGAGAATATATAGTAAACACTGATAGAACGACAGGAATTAAATCACTATGTAATTAAATTTTTATTCAAATATAATATACACGTGTTTTTTGTTTATGTTAGAAATACTTTTTCATAAATTCTTGTGTCTAAAGCCCACCTGTGGCTCAGCGGTAATTCTGAAGGCTTATAACGCTAAAAATCGAGTTTCGATACCCGTGATGGGTACAGCACAGATAGCCCATTGCGTAACTTTGTGCTTAACAACAAATGAATAAACAAGCTTATGCCTAAAACCAATGAATATGATAAGTTTTGAAGTTAACAGAAACATTCAGTTATTGCAAATTTTGATCAAAATGACGTAACTATTACTACAGAGATGATCCATTATGTGTGGGTGTGTTAGCATCCATCACCCTGATTCGTTTAACTCTATTATCGTAAGGTTTAGTATGGTAATTGGAAACTGTCCTACAATGTACATGGGCCATTTTATTTTATGATTTCTGGCCCAAAAAGAGCAATATAAAAGCCCCTGAAGTAGGGCACATTTCCACTTTTTTATAGTAACTGGAAAATATCTGCTTGAAAAGGGGGTAAAGATAAAAAATTCCCTCTGAATTTTTCCCAGTTTTTTAGTCTTTTGACTTTCAGTTAGCAGCCCGGCATGGCCAAGTGGTTAGGGCGCTCGACTCGCAATCTGAGGG